TCCTGCTGGAAAGGACTTACATGAACATAAAAGGTGCGTGGTGTAATTCACCAGGAGGTACAGGGATGCATCACGGTCCCTCACATGTGCCATGAGTCTCTGTCCAAGCTCAGGCACTTAAATGATGTGCTGTCATAAATGCCACGCCAGTTCAGGAGAAAATGCTCCTTACTGAAGAGGGAGCAGTATTCCTCCAATGTGTTTCCTGGGCTTATCTAGTTTAGTTTTAAAGCTGCTGTGGGCAAATGGCAAATATTCCATGCAATAAACCTCAAAGCAAAAAGAAATCTTAATTTCTCTGATACAATGTACCTTACCATGGAATGAATTGGTCCTACAAGCCAAACCCACTGTAAACCAAAACACCAGCAAACATGAGCACTGTCAGACAGAATTAATAGCACTGATTATTAACAAGGGGGGAGGAGAGGGGGAAGAAGTGAGTTTGGTAAAACTAGGATGCTGCAAAAATGTATTAAAGAAAACAAAAATATAACTCTAAGAACAGAAAGTCAAAAAAAGGAAGGAAGAAAGGGCTGAAACTCCAAACCAAACCAAAACAGGACAAAGAGAAAAAGAGAAAAGTGAAATACAGGGAAAGACAAGGTTAAAGGGTTGAGAAGTCAACTGCAGGTCTGGCACAGCATGCTTGATACTGGAAAAAACAGAGTGAAGAAATGCTTGGGGACAAAAAAAAAAGGCTGAAGCAGAGTGTGAAGGGATTTATCATACAGCATAACTCCTTGCCTAGGCCAGTTAGTGGCACTTGATCCCCTTCCCGTTTTTGCCCCTTCTGAAAGCGCTTATTAGTTAGCCATGGAAATGGTGTATTATAAGGATGTCACAGGAAACAGGAGAATTGCGCTAAGCAATTTAGGGGCAAATTTGAAATGCTTTGACTTATTCTTTTTTTTTTTTGTTCATGCTGTCAGCTGTTAGCTTGTGAAAGCAAAATGAATAAGGACCTATCAACCTGTTTTTCTTGGAGGGGAAGGGAGAGGAGGAAGAAGATTAATTAACACTGGAAACTCTGCTTTGTTGTTTGTACTCAGGGAAAAATTGCACTGACTCCAGGAGGTTTATTCCAGGCTGAGGCTGTTGCAAATGAGCCAGGTGGCTGGCTGGTGATGGCCTTGCTAAGGCTGCCAGTGGGTTGAGGTTTGTTGCTTGTGTGTTGGATGCTCCTGGGCTCTCACCCAGTGCAGGAGAGGAGGGTGCAGCGAGGGAGCAGGGCTGTGGGTGCCGCCCTGAGCAATGTTCCTTGCATGGCACTCCTGCGGGGACTGTAGGTCTTGAGTGGCATGGAGACGTAAAGCCCTGGGTCTGTGTTCATTGCCTAAATTCCCTCCCACACCCTTTGAAAGGAGGCCTGTTAAGTATTAAAAATAATTTGAATACATATTTTTTTCCCTTGCAGAATGCTAGGAAAATCAAATCAACATGAGATTTAAGTCAAGGTATTAAATCCCTCTATGTGCAGCCTTTTGAACATGCACATTATGCAATTAATTTCAGATCACCTTAATTTATACATAATTGAGGATATATATGGTCTTAAATTTGCTCTGTTTTGAAGTTTTTCTTCTTACAGGTCTCTGGGGATTTTTAAAAGAATTTCATTCCAAGAGGTGGTTCCGCTGATGTAATTTTATATATAAGGCAAAATTTGAAAGTCTTTTTTTTAAAGGATTTTAATTTAATTCCTCATATGTTAATGTAGCCACGTATCTTCTACTACAATCTAGTACTTATGAGTGAGAATTAATAATATCTTGTGATAATAATAATAATAACAATAAGCTGGGTTGTGAGAGATTTTTTAAATTTGGACTCGTAATGGGTTTTCCACAGTTCACAGCTTAAGCTAATGACATTTTGTGGGGGCATTTTTAACAAGAACATGAAGTAAAACTGTGTGAAAAGCATCACTGGCTGATTCTTCTCATTTGCCAACAATTTCAAGAGATTCCAAACTAAAACTGACCTGAATTCCAAGAGAATGGCCTATTCAAGAGATGCATTATTTGTACCCCTGACTACTAAATGTTAGTCAGATAAATACAGTCTATTCATGAAGAGGACTTATAAGATCTATTTCTATTATGTTTAAGCTGAAGTGTAAAAACAGTATGCACTGCCAATGTTCTTGGTTGGGTGCAATATGAGTTTGGTATTAGAAATATTGAATATATTTGCTGGCTTGAGGATCTGGAGTCTAGCTGTAAACCTCTACTTCAGTTTCTAAATAACTTTTGGTTCACTTTTAATTTACAGACCTAGAAATGAATGAATATATGCATATCATTTACACATATGTATATGCATCTGATTTACATACCTAGCTGTGGGTTTAGACATAAAACTTTACTTGGAAACCAGAGCTCAAAACTGTAAATATTCAGAATATTAAGTGGCTATAACAGATTATCTTTTTTTATAGACTAGTTAGTCATTTTGCTTAATGCTTACAGTGTTTCCAAAATCTGGCAACCCTAGAAGTAGTTAGCAAAAGCAAATGTCAAAACTAGTCAAAATTACACAGCAGAAAAATGAATGCACACTCTGTTATGATTACTTCAGTGATTCCTAGAACTCCTTAGGTCTGGAACATCCTATCACTATTACCATTTTAGTGAGCCAATCTCTGCTAACATTTTGATAAGGGTTGTTATAGCTGTATGATCCCTTCTAAAGCATAAAGAAACTGGTTAGGAATTGAAAAGGGGAGGTGGAGAAAAAAAAATAAAAAGGGGTTTATCTCTCAGGCTCTAAAATCTGCAGGCTAAAAGGAATGATTGGTCCATACCCATAAATTCAATCCCAAGATGCTCTGCCAATGCAGAAAGTTGACAAAAAAAGAAAGAAAAAGGAAAAAGTTTCAGAAAAGAGCAATACACTGTACTTAAAAATAAATCACATATGAGAATTATGGCTATTCTGTGTCTGCACATGAAACAGAACAAAGGGGCATGTGGTTACATGGGCAGTGCTTAAATGCATCTGTAAGCTACATGACCAGACCTTCTGCAAGGGTTACACTCCAAAATATCTATGGGGGATGTGAATAGCCACAGTGCAGGGAATGCAGCAGGAACCATTAACCCTTAAAGATCTTACTGAGATGAAGGGGGCTATGGCCTGAGGACACCATGTGAAATGGCTGATTGTTTTCAGATGGGACAATGAGAGCACAGGGATGCTTTACAAGGGGTGGCATCACCCTGCAAATGGGTTGTGCATTGCCCTCCCTTCTGGCCCTGCTCCTGTCCCAGGTATGCGGCTCCTTGCTCTTGTGGGTTGCGACCTGGAGGTGGCTCAGCAGTGGGAGCCCTTCTCAGCTTTGCAAACTGGCTGCAGCAGGGCTCTCATTTCTGGAAAATGAGGAGCAATCCCTTTTCCCCTGCCTTTGGGCTGTGCTGCCTTGGCAGAACCACCCGCTGGCTGGATGGATGCACCCTGGGGTGCAGGGGATGATGCCATTTACATGGATTCATATGCCTAAATTAGCACCCCCAGGCCCCAACAGCCAGAGGTGAGGAGGAACACAGGCTTCCCCCCACCAGGCGCCCTAGGAGACCCTTCCTGTGGGGCCAAAACCATAACTGTGGCAGGTCTCACTTTCTTTGTCCTTGTGTGCTGTGAAATTTAAATCCAGTCCTAATTTTCCGACCATGTGCATTTTTTTATGTAGTTTGTACAAATGGGGAATGCCAATTCTTTCCTGCCAATCAGTGACATTTTAAGGGTTAAGTAAGTTGGAATCCATCCAGGTCTCTTCCT